GTGATGTGAACTGAAATCTAAGTTCAGCTTTCGGATTGTAGATTGCTTAACTCTAATCATCAAATTATCATAGAGTAGTAGTAGTAGTAGTATCATCGTCTAGGCAAAAATAAACTATAATGTGTTACACATCAATATCAGATTTACAGTGATTTAAAAATATTACATGTGAATAAAAGGTTGTGAAATTTGAGAAATCTCATGAGTGCATTGAATTACGAGAATAGGCCATAAGATGTTAAATTACGAGAACTTTTGAAACTTTTGCTATGCATTATCCAATATAGAAGCTTATATCATACACCAGATATAAGACAGTGGGCCAAAAAGAGTCATAATATTATATGCAACTCCATTGAGGAGGATGTTAGGAAGACATGAAAACATTGAAGCTACATACTCTATATATAATTAATTATTGCTACTTGTGTTGATACTGTACTCGAAATATATTTTGCTCTGGGATCTGATAAAGAGTAATGGGGATGTTTGGCATAAGTTTTTAATTTATTTTAGGACATGAAATTGGTGAATCTTCTCGCATTTTGTTTGTTGCTTCAGTATCATTCGTATACCATTTTTGTTTTGCGTATGTGGTAAAGCACCTAAAACGTTTGATTATCTTTTTTGCAAGAGCGGAAATTTGGTGCAGCTTACCACAGTTTGAAGCCCCTACTGGAATTCATTACTTTTAAATTCGCAATGCATTGTTGGACCATTTTTTAAATTCTGTTTTCGTACTCCTTTATTTTTAATTATTATGGATAAAAATATGTGAAGTCACCTACCAATTTTACAAACGAATTAACTATAGGTATTGAATTAGTTCAAAGTGCCTATGAACATTATGTAATCCTTCTGAATTTATCTGCTAAGAGGATAAAAAAAAATTGCCAGCAGGGTGGATTAGATTGATCATTGTGGAGTACATATGTGTATTGCAAATAGCACGTAAAAAAGAATGCCTTCGTACTCTTAAAAAAAAATTCTACCAGTGTATATCGAGAAGTCATGCCCTCCCTGCTCAAATTGAAAAAGAAAAATATATTGACTAGACTGTGGTTGGGCCCGTGCATAGCACGGGCTGCTCATATCTAGTCTTAATTAGAATATATAAATCTACTACTAGGTACTTTTTTGGTTAGCACATATTTTTTCACTTTTAAAAAATAATCTTGTCAGCGCATAAAAAGAAGTGAGAAAAAGATCTTTTTGCAGGGGTAAAATTAAAAAGATAATTAGAGAACAAGGAGAGGTCATTTTATTCTGCTCATGATAGATATATCCATTGATTGAGTAGTGCGGTGTCTATTCTGAAACATGATAGATAAATGAACCCGTATTAAACCCGTAACTCGCCTGACGCCTCGTCCCGTTTTAAAAAATTTAAAAAGTGTTTTAACCCGCCCCGCACCCGCATAAGAGTAATCCCGTCCCGCATCAAACAAAACCCGCCCCGTCCCGCACTCGCTCCGCCGCATTGTCATCCCTAGGTGGGGGTGGGGGGTGTATGGCGCAGAAAAATGAAAAAAAATGAAAAAATAGAAAATTGAAATACAAAAAAAAAGCGGGGGAGGAGGGGGGGGGGTGCAACAGAATGGGGCAACTTAAATACCTTGACTCTCATTTTTAAACTTTGATACAAAAACTAATGATGAGGCAACTAAATAAATTTCTAGATAAGTTGGGACGAGATCCCTTTGTTTTGGGTGAGCTTCATGAGTTGTATTTGGGCTACTTCATGGGTCAGAATGAGCTGTAAAAAAGAGAAATTTTTAGAAATGACTATGTTTAGTGGCTATTAACTTGCTATAGCTACCATTTACTTAATTACTTCCTATAGCTATGTTTTCACTTGTTATAGAGTGTATTCGATGTATTCAAGCTACTATATTCATGAATACAGTAGCAAAACTCGGCGGAAAACAAGGTAGTCCAGCTAAACATAGACTATATTCATATGTATTTGCGAGCTGTATTCGTGAATACAGTAACGGACATCTGCTAAAAATAAGGTCTTCAACTGTTTAATAACGGTAAGTGAATCAATTAACGCGATAAACTCCTAATATAACTTAACAAACTCAATTATAACACGCAAAAATTGTATTTCCAGTTATAGAAAAGATTCCCAGCCGAAAAGCACCCCAAAAACAGAGCAATCTTCAGAGATTCATTCCATCCTTTCTTTTTTTAGTGGTATCTTTACTAAAATATTTTTTAATGGTATCTTTACAAATAGATTTCCATATTGAAATTATATAATTACATTGAATACAGTTAAATACATACAAATACATTGAATACATGAAGTATAGCAGGTCATCTATAGTGCAATCATACAAATACATACTGGAGATACATTTGAATACATATATACATCTGAATATATAAATTATATTAATTAAAAAACATATGAATACATTCTAAAATGCTGTTGTATGAACTCAAATACATATAAATTCATCTAAATATAACGGAATACAAACACTAGATTTAGGGTTTAGACACTGAACGACTTCATCTCTTCAGTACCCTTGACACAAAACATATAAATACATGCTGCAGATACATTTGAATACATATATACACCTGAATATATAAATTATATTAATTAAAAAAACATATGAATACATTCTAAAATGTTGTTGTATGAACTCAAATACATAACAGAATACAAGCACTAGATTTAGGGTTTAGACATTGAACGACTTCATCTCTTCAGTAACCTTGACAAGATCAACTGATGGCTTCTCACGTGCAATAGGCATGTAAGCACCATGGACTTGAGTTGCCGTAGCCAATTCCTCGGGGGCAGAATCACCAGCCTTGACCTTGCGAGCAAGTCTTGGGAAGACGACTAATTTGGCCTTGTAGGTATTCAGCCCAAAAGTTTTAACACTTACCACAACTTTTTGGAGAAAAAAATATTGAAAATTGAGGGAGATAATGACGCTGATAAATAAGAGAGCTGGGGAGAGAAATTTGGAGCAAAAAATATTGAAAACGGCCATGGCAGCTGCTAGGTCTCCATGTCGCCTAGAGAGAGAGAGAGAGATTGTGGAGAGAGAAATAAGATACTATGCAGTGATTTTGGGAGAGAATAAACTGAAAGAATGAGAGAAAAAAATATTAGACAGCGTATTTAATGGCTAGATGGTAGTAAGTGACCATAAATACATATTTTGCTATAAATTCTAAAATGTAGCTATAGAAAATAATAATTTTAAAAAGGTTTTCATTTATAATAAATAGGGTATAAAGCTTTGTTATAAGAGGTAAAATTTCCTATAAAAAATATGGGCTGACATGTTTGTAGCCCAACCCATTAATCTCTAGGGGGTTGGGCGGGTTGATGAGTTTGGGGTCAAATTGCCACCCCTACTAAAAACTAATGCATGTATTATTGGAATTTTTACCTCCTATAGCAAAGGTTAATACCTTATTTATTTTAAATAAATACCATTTTAAAAAATTATATTCTATAGATACCTTTTAATGTTTATAGCAAAATATCTAATTTTGGTTACCTCCTACTCCTAAGCCACTAAATACGCTATTCAGTTGCACTATTTTCTTTCCTCTCTACTTTGATACATGCCATTGTCTTCCCCCGTTCCCTGAAAATACGTGCTCGATCTCAAAATTCCTCTCACCCACATCACCTACCATTAGTCAAAAACCCCACGCTCTCTCCTCTCTCCTCTCTCTCTAGGGTGACATGGTGTAGTATAGGTTGCCATGGATGCGCAGCCCTCTCCATCAAGTTAACATCAGAAGGGTTAAGGTTGAATCTCAAAAGCCTTTGTTTGGATCTTGTTTCCGAATCTGCCGCCTATGTTGTTCGCGAAGAAATCCAGTAGCGGAGCAGAAATTTAAAGAGTTTGAGTGTGTTCTTGGAGTTGTAAAGGAACGGTAGCACAACAGTGTGTTAAAGTGCTGCTGCTTTGTGAGAAAGATGAAGAAGAATAGCCGCTGCCCATTTTGACATTCTTTGGACCCCTCTTTTGTGTTACCTTATTATTATGGATTTTTTTTTTCAATTTGGGGATGAGAAACTTGGTTTTCTGTTCATATATTTTAATGTATTTTCAACGTATCACGCTGTATTTACATGTATTTCATTGTATTCATTGTCTATTTTTTCAGTGTAATTCAATGTATCTCGCTGTATTCCATGTATTTCATTGTATTCACTGTCTTTTTTTTTATTGTATTTCAATGTATCACGTTGTATTCTATGTATTTCATTGTATTCACTGTCTCGCTATATGCCATGAATGTATTCATATATTTTTTTAATTAATATAATTTATGTATTCGGATGTATTATATAATTTCTCTGAAGATTGCTATGTTTTTGGGGGTATTTTTCGGTTGAGAATCTTTTTTATAACTGGAAATACAAAATTTGTCTGTTGTAATTGAGTTTGTTGAGTTATATTAGGAGTCGATTATGTTAATTGATTCACTTTCCGTTTAAAAACAATGTAATCCCCTGTTTCACGCCGTGAATACAGTCGAATACAATAATCTTTCCAGCTGTAATCCCATGTTTCACGCCATGAATACAGTCGAATACACTCGAATATAAAAATTTGTCTAGCTGTAATCCCCTGTTTCACGCCTAGAAATGCTACTGTATTCATGAATACAGTAGCTTAAATACATCAAATACATCTTATAACAACAGAAAACGTATCTAGCATCCGTAATATAGCAAATGGTATCTATAGATAGCTAATTACCACTAAAAGATAATGCTTTATGAAAATTTCTCTATATTATTTTCTCTAATGTATCCTACCAAACGATCCATAAGTGGGTACAAATGAATAAATATTTTATTTCGCCGGGATAATCATGAGAAGAACCCCCTACATTAGTGCATAAATAGATACTTAGATATCTGGGCCTCGTTAGTTGGTCTTAGAACTAAATTTGGGCCATGTAGTCCAATACAAACAGGCCCAAAAATTCATATCAATAGATATTCCTCCCCAAACCCTAGGGTCTAATATATCATCAGCTCAGCAGCTGTGTTGTTGTGATTGTGGCGAAAGAGTCAGACCAAACAGACACCTCAGTCTGCTGCACAGCTAAAAGGGTAATCCCATTTTCTCATATTATCTAACGGTTTTGTATAATATTTGGCATTGTATTTCTCTTTTGAGCATTTGATAAGAAATCATCTTCTGTCTGAAAAGTTTGTATCTTTTTTGTTATTTAGTTTTATCTTTGGCTTTTTTTTTTGGGCTTTTTGATTCAGGCTTTATTTTAGTTTCAACTTGTTATATTTCATTTAGTTTCTTATGTTGACAGTAATGAGATTTTGAGCATTTAAAAGAATCATTATTTCTGGGGTTTTAGCTAGTGAAAAGATCTGGGTTTTAGTTTTGTTGAAATGTGCTTGCGTAACATGTTTTAGTTTAATATAATGGAACCACTTTGATTTAAGTTCTCTCTGTTTTTCCTTTTTTTTTTCCGATTTAGGTATTTTGTTAATATCTGCTTGTTAATTCATTTATTGTGTATTTAGTTTTTCATTTGAAAGACTCATTGTTTGTGTGGTTTTTGGGCTATTTAATTCTAGCTTTGTGCTAGAATCTATTGTTTATTTTCTTCCTTGGCTATGATTATGTTATGTGGTAGCGTGATTATCGGGAGTATTTGCAAAGTACCCCTGGATACCTGAATATTCATTACCATATTTATTCCTTTCGGGCGGTTTAGCCATCTCTGTGTGTTTTTTGGATTTGAATTTGATGAAATTCAAATCATGTAATACTAGTTGTAGGAAGAACAATTTTCAAAGATTTTATTGTGTGACATTTGACCTGAAAAGTGATGTTAAATATTTAGTGGGAAATCAAGAATTATCATATCCTTAAATGAAAAGTCTAAAGAGTTTTGTGATGATAGGTCTCGGTCAACTTCATGGATAGGTAGCATAAGGAAAGGAAATGCTAAATGAAACACATTCAATAATTTTTTTTGAAGTATGTTTTTTTTTTGGGGGGGGGGGGGAAGGGGGGGGGGGGAAGGCAGTGTCGACTGACTTGAAATTGTCATCCCAAAACTTTGCATCTGAAGCAACTAGTATTCTCGATCTTAATATGTTGCTAGATGTGTATTAACTTATATTTCTGGGTTCTTCCACATAACAGAGTCATGGGTGAGGGAGGTGTACCGGTCCCAGAGTCTGTACTGAAGAAGCAGAAAAGAAGTGAGGAGTGGGCCCTTGTAAAGAAGCAAGAGCTTGAAGCAGCCAAGAAAAAGAATACTGAGAACCGCAAACTGATCTACAACAGAGCTAAGCAGTATGCTAAGGAGTACGAGGCGCAGGTAATTATGAGCCCAATATATCAGTGAAAAGAATGCTGATTTTTTCTCTTTTACTGTGGTATTCAAGAACTGTATTTGTGTCTTTAGGAGAGGGAGTTGATCCAATTGAAGCGCGAGGCACGATTGAAGGGAGGATTCTATGTTGACCCAGAGGCAAAGTTGCTCTTCATCATCAGAATCCGTGGGTAAGATGTTGCTGGTTTGATTTAACCCCTGAATTTGATTAATAAAGTCGGAGTTATTGACTGTCATTTTCAATTTTTAGTATTAACGCGATGGCTCCTCAGACAAAAAAGATTCTGCAGCTTCTTAGATTGAGACAGGTAATTTATTTATGCTTCCTGTTTATTTATGTATGAATTGGTTCAAGTATTAGCTATCACGTGTGGCACAAAAAGTATGATCAATCTACTTTATTTAATATGGGAATCTATTTTCCCTTATAAGGTTTCCATGCCAGTTTGTAAGCTCAAGTGATTCTATCTGGTCAACATTTGCTGCAGATCGCATTATTATTATGGTCAGTTAGGTTTTGTTTTTGCCGGAATTATAGTTAGAGTAGCATTTAACTTACAATTTCCACTGTGATTGTCATGCCAAAACAGAATTTGACATTATCATGTAGGGCTGTAGGCTTCGCATAATTTTGTTGGATCATTCATTACATGTTCTTTTTTGTCCTTGCTTTTTTGATTCATCCATTACACTTTCTATCATGCACTTTGCATAGTTTAATGTTGTACCGTATGAAAATTCACGATCGGACTGCCATTTTACTTGGTAGTTATTTTATGATTTGTGGTTAATTCATGATTTCTGCTAGTGCCTCTTGGTTACCAAGTCTAAGTTGTGGTGCGAGCGAACATAACAAACCTATCCCCAGGCAATACAGATGGATATGCTCTTGTTTTAGACTTGCTGATTACTGTTTCGTTGGTTCCTTTTCTAAAAGTATCTTTCTTTTTCTTCATTGTTTATTACTTCCCCGACTCATTTCTGTTTGTCTTATGAGAGGACTCTTCGCTATGTTGCAGATCTTCAACGGTGTCTTCCTGAAAGTTAACAAGGCAACCGTGAACATGCTGCACAGGGTTGAGCCCTACGTTACTTACGGGTACCATTCTATTGAATTTCTCAAGCATTGTTTCTTTCCGGGGTTGATTCTCATTTACGGGGTTCCCCTATAATTATTGGTTGCTGTATCTCTTTAATCTTCACAGTTATCCCAACCTGAAGAGCATTAGAGAATTGATCTACAAACGAGGTTACGGCAAGGTAGACAAGCAGAGAATTGCTTTGACTGACAATTCCGTCATTGAGCAGGTCAGTGCCAAATATATTTTTGAAGTTCATTCTTAGTTAACGTAACAAAAAGGCTTTTTCATTTTTGTCCCTGCGGCCAAAATAATTACAGGAGCCCAAATATACAAAACATATACATTGATTATGTATAAGATATGTATATTATATCTATATTATACGTATATATATATATATATATATATATATATGTATATTTATGTATATTCATACTTAATATACAAAACATATACATTTTGCGACACCTTAATATCTCTAGTGGTGTTTCATCAAAATGTACCTATATTGCAGGTGTTGGGCAAACATGGAATTATTTGCATCGAAGATCTTGTCCATGAGATCATTACCGTTGGATCACATTTCAAGGAGGCTAACAACTTCCTATGGCCGTTCCAGCTTAAGGCACCTCTTGGTGGACTGAAGAAGAAAAGAAACCACTATGTTGAAGGTGGTGATGCTGGAAACCGCGAGAATTACATCAATGAGCTCATCAGGAGGATGAACTAAAAGAATCTCACTAAGCAGCAGCAAATTTTGTTTCTTTAAGTTTGTTTTTGGTGTTTGAACTGTTTGTAATATGGAACTAGCTAGGTTTCAGGTTTTGTTCTCAAGGTTAAATTTAGTCTTTGGATCTACTATGCCGGTTGCCTCTTGTTTTCGGCCTCTTTGCCTGCAGGACTTTTTAGCAATGTTTGATTTCAAAGTGGAAGTGCTTGTTCAGCTTTACATATTTGGTTTATCTTTGTATGAGTCATCATTTGCCTGACACGAATTATTGTGCTAATTGTGATTTGTGGCCTACTACAGGTCAATAAAATGTGAAAATTACTAAAAAGTTTAGTGTTTAAACTCATTATTGTAAGAAAGTATTTGATGGTGGGGAGAGTGGTGGGATAATTGCAAACTGTCTTTCCCTTGGTTGATGTGCCAAAAAAGAAGAAATAAACAGATACTCTTAGAAAACAATGATAGGGGAGGTAAAAGGTACAAAAAACAACAAAATTATCTTGTGTCCTGTACTCACAGTAGAAAGTAACAAGTATTTGTAGAATAGTCAAGTGTATGCAAATTAACTCTTAAGAATACTGCAAAAGTAGTAGATACCAAATAGAATAGTAGGCATATGGAAATTAACTTAAGCAACACATTGAGCAGTTCGATGCACAAAGTATTTTGTATTCACACAAGACTGCAATCTCAAGGGGGGTGATATAGATCGCCAATCCTAATTTAAGCATTAGTGGCTGCTTCCACTGCTTGAACTCGTGACCTATAAGTCATACAGAAGCAACTTTACTGTTACTTCTAAGGCTCCGATGTTAACTCTTTATTGAAAAAAAAGAAAAACTCAAACAACACCGGTATTTAAAAAGATAAAGACAACTTCCATGCTGTGCTGGATCTAATATACGTGTAAACCTTTATCCTCCTACACGTAAATACATAGATCAGAGCTCCATCTTTTTAGATACCAAACCTGAGTATCTTTATCTTCATTTGATAGCAAAGAAGGAAGCAGTGAAAAAAAAACCAATGGAAGCAACAAAAGAGAGGAAAGAAGAAATGGAAAAGAAAGAGGACGATGATCCCATGGCTAAAGCCAGAGAAATCATTAGAGAAGCAATTATCACAGATGGTGAAAATCCAAACAACACCACTGATAAGATGATGAAGAAGAAAGAGGGTGCTGAACAACTTGACGATGTTTTAGTTTTTTCAAGAACTGTTCAGAAAAGGGATTCTTCACTTGACTAGATTTTTCCTTGTTTAGACTAGTTTAATATTTATACATATTGTTTTGCAGTCTTTAATTTGCAGGATGGAACCATAATAACTCATAAAATAAAGATGTCATAATTTCTTCTTTTTTATTTTCATTTTATAACTATATATAATTAGTTTATTGTGGTTTATGGATTTCTCGTTAACTTATCTGTCTAATATTTTGTTATTTGATCTTTGTTATCTATTATTCCAAAAAATGTGTCTAACGAGAATGAAAACGTTTTGGTAGCGAGACCCCCCCCCCCCCCACCCCCCCACCACACACACACACCACACACACTTTTTTTCCTTTTAATAAAGCAAATTAAATTTTAAATTAGTCTAAAGGAGTGAATTACGAATATCTTACACGTAAATTAAATACGAGAACACGTGAAATACTCGTGTAGTTCGCTTTAACATATTATTATTTACCATAATCATGATCCCCCATTTTACATATGTATAAAATCAAAAAGGTTTCTCGAGAAAAACATGAAAATAATCACAAAACATATAATGGGGCCAGAATAAATGTTGGAGGTAAGAGTGGTAAGCAATTATTTGCTGCTAAACTTTAACTTAAATCTTTAATACGTGTATGCATTTCCTGGAATCTTATTATTTTTAATTTTACCTCGAAAAAGAATTTTTTTTATTACTATTATTTTTGACGAGAAGAATAATTAATAGATTTGAATTCATAATAAAGTATAGTATATTTAATATTAAAAATTTAGAAAATTGAATCGTTCAAGTTTAATTTCCGAATGCGACAATATTAAGAAGGGATTTTTTCCTATCTATACCATATATGAAACCTTATTATTAAAAATGTGTAAAATTTCATTATTACCCGCCATGTTTATATTTTTCATATAAAATTTATACCATTCATTAAATACCCAATATTAAGAGCTGATTCCTTCCAAATTAGGCGCCTACAAATCTGGGATAAATATTTGAATAGCTTATTCCTTCCAAATTAGGCGCCTAAAAATTTGGGACTAAATATTTTTCCATATTCACATCAGATTTGTTTCCTCCTTTTTCTGCAGGTTTCTCTTTCCTCATTTTTCACGTCCTCGCCCTACAACTTTTAATCCACGCCCAGTAAGTCAACTCATGTCTCCAACATCATCTATTACCAAGATTTACCAGCAATTTGTTGCGCCTGAAGATACATTGGAATCTGATTTCGGGGAGTCTCCCATGAAGAAGAAAAAGAGAATCAAATTTTCCATTCCTCTAGCTCCAGTCAACAAATTTTCTACAAAAAATCTACAAATAAACTACAAATCAGTTTACGTATGTATAAAGCAGTATTGTTTTGAAGGGTATCTACAAAATTACTACATTTATACTACAATTAAATACAATCTATGTTGGAAAAAAATGTTGACTACAAAATTTTCTCTTTATCTACAAAATTTCTACAAATAAACTACAAATCAGTTTAAGTATTGTATAAAGTTGTATTGTTTTTAAGGGTATCTATAAAATTACTACATTTATACTACAATTAAACTATAATCTATGTTGAAAAAATATGTTGACTACAAAATTTTCTCTTCATGTACAAAATTTCACAAAAAAAAACTACAAATAAACCAACCTTTCTTATTCCATCTTCATCCTTGTCAAAGGCCCATGACTACTCCTTAATGAAATCTTCAGGGTTGTATATGTACCAAATTGATGTTGGCCACAGCCACCGCCAGTATTTGGCGTTATTATTGTATGGGATTTACAATGGGTTTCATATTGAATCTCTTTGGCTAAAAATCTGATTATAAAAAATGGGTCTCATCTCTGTATTTTTTGAGAAGAAGAAGGAATGCAGAAGAGAAAGAAATGGGAGGGGGAAAACAGTGCTGGTCAGATCTTGAGAATTAAGGGGAGAGAGAAACGTGAGATATATGGACACCTTTAATTAAGGAGTAAAAAACTGCCAATTAATTATACCTCTAAATTAATTATGGTATATAAATGATAATTTGGTATGCTGAAATGTAATTAACTCAAACCTTAAACATTGAGGGTAATAAGGTTTCATATGTGGTATAGGAAGGTAAAAATCCCATTAAGAAACAAAGTCCAAGAATGAAAAAGGGTAGAATTACGAAATGAATATGAGCTGTGGCTAATACCCGAGGCATACGAGAAGTATTTTTGGCGGAATCCCGAAACCACTAGCCACTCCGACCTTATGAATGATAAGCCTACCAACTTCCTGGCAAAATACCTAGGGTTAAAAACCACTGACTTTAACATATTATTCCAATGAAAATAATTGTAACAACATGTAGCACAATCAGACAAATGGGAATAAGTTTGTTTACCCATAAAATTAGATAACAATTAAATTTATAAGTGGTTTTAAGATATGTGATTTCACTTGGCACAAACTGATAAATACGAGAATTAATGTTAGAATTCAACGGTAAAATAGAGCAAACCAATATAAACCACAGGTTGGCCTTTGAGCTAGATCGCCCTCGAATCCTCGCGCTAGATCGCCCTCGGACCGAATGGACGTATAATTAAAAAGTATGAATTGAACATCAGAATAAGAGTGCTTAAGAAAGAGAATGATGTCTATTGCTTTGTTACGCATGAATATCATGTTTACAAAATGATTAGAACCCCCTTTATACAGTAGAGGAATTCTACTTATGGTACAATTCTAAATACAGAAGAAAATCTCATGATTCGCTAAATAATCGACATCTTCTTGATAGTGCCGAGATTTTTGCCGTGATCCTAGCCCGGTTGTGGATATTTTGGTATTCCGTTATTTGGATCGGTAAGCTTTCCTCGACCTTGCTCCATCTTCATCCTGCATGGCTCCGATTTTAGCCGACCTCGATCCCGATCGGTCTCTAGGTCTCGAGCTCTCCAGTCTAACTTTGCACCGTGGTCCGATATAACATCGGGTCGAACCTTGGCCTGCCTCGTTCCAGGTCAAGCCCGATTTTGACCGTATATAGATAGTCCCCTCGTTTCTCTGAAAAAAGGCGACGATAAACGATATGATCTTTTGCTATCCCATATCGATGGGTCATGACGTAAGCGACAAGCCCGACCATGATGTCAGCGACAAGTGGATACCGAAACGTCCCCTTTTTTAGGATATTGAGGCACTAAATGATTGTCAGTTGTTGCCGTGTCTTCAACCTATGAATGTATATTTCTTCTTTTTCCTAAACTTTACTTTCAGTTCTTTTTTGCTCTAATCTCCAAAATCCTTTGCCTCCTTAAAAGCTCTAAACTCCCAGACCATTGGTGTTTCTTCGCCTCTCACATTACAAAATACCAAGCTTTTCTCCTCAGTTTCCATTCTTCTTCACTCGCAAAAGCAAAATGGCTGAGACTTCAAAAATTGTTCCGCAAAAGGAAGCTGCTTCCTCGTCCCGGCCAGCTGGCGAGCAACCAGCGGCGGAGCCACGCCCTGAAGAGATCGTTCCTGGAGGGTGTGTCATTGACTCTGATTCCAAGGTTGAAAAGACCCCCTCGGTTGTGGGTCGATGTGAGCCAATGTCGAGGTACATATGCACGATCACTGGTGATCTCCTCGACCAAGTTAAAGAGGACTGCAACTGGGTTGACAAGCACGTGATGGTGCCCTTGCCTAAGGAATCAATCACTACCCATGTGGAAGGGTTTCTAAGCGTTTAATCTTATCCTTTTACATTGGTTCCTCTGGACCCAGTCATTATAGACTTCTGCAAGAAGTACGAAGTGACCCTCGGTCAGATTCACCCCTCATTCTAGAGGATAGCGATATTGCTTCGTTTCTTCGTGATCCAAGTTGATGGGCTTCCCTTTACCCTCGATCACCTTATACGCCTATATAGCCCCCGACTTTATTGAGGGGGACTAATAAAGCTTTAGCGTCGGGCCTCCAAGGAACCTTTCTCGAGCATAGATGAAGACAAGGACGAGGGCTGTATGGGTCGATTTGTCCGAGGGAAG